AACCCCAAACCCTAAACCCTAACTATTCAGGCTTCTCTTTTGAGGGATGCTTCGGGCTTCCAGGAGTCTGCGCTTTGGCGCCTTGGGCTTGGAACTCTCTGGTCTTGGGGTTTAGGGTTTCAGGTTCAGGGTTGAGGGATTGGGGTGTAGGGGTAGGGTGTAGGGTTTAGGGTTGAGGATTTAGGGTTTCGGGGTGAAGATCTAGGTTTAGGGTTGAGGATTTATAGGGCTNNGGGGGGGGGGGGGGGGGGCTGTGGAGAAGGAGCACCGGCTCTTCCAGCCCTTCGGGCCTTCCGGTTCAGACGTTTACCAGCGTCTTCCTCACCACCCTGGACTCCCCTGGACCTCGACTACGAGAGCCCACGGTTCAGGGCTTGGGGTTTAGGACCCACGTTCTCGAACAGTTCCGGCGCATTCAGGCTGGCCTTAGGATTTCACTACGCTGGCTCTCCTCTCTGTCTCTGTACATGGCAGACACGCCGGAGCGTCAGCACGGAATACCCAAATTCAGCACACGTTTTCAAGACCCAGGGCCCCCTTTTGCTGGCACCGATGCCCTACTACAAGGGGCCAATTGCCAAGGCAAGCTGCGAGGAGGAACTGAAAGGAGGCAGACTCCAACAGGAAGCTGGCTTCTTGTTAAGGGATTTAACTTAAGTTACCGTCGTAAAGAGACCATGTCATTTGCTATAGATCCCGACTATGGTAACTTAAATTAAATCCCTAAACCCTAAACAAGAGCTTAGAGTACTATAGATCCCCATCATGGTAACGTACATGAAAATCCTAAACCTAAACAAGAGCTTAGGGTGACCCCCAAAGCCGCCAATTTTACACCGACCCACGCTGCACAAGAAGGCCAAGAAGCACTGAGGAAGAGCCGCGCATGAATTACCTCAGGCCGGCTGTACTGACAGAACTATGAACAATGACGATGGCGGTGATGTCTGTGGTGGTGCTGATGATGCTGGTGATGATGATGATGATGAGGATGAGGATGAGAATGAGGATGAGGATGTTGATGATGATGACGATGGTGATTGGAATGACGATGAGGATGACGATAAGGATGAGGATGATGCTGCTGATGCTGATGTTGGTGACGATGATGATGATGATGGTGATGAAGATAATGATGGTGATGATGATGATGATATGGTGATGATGATGGTGCTGATGGTGTTGATGGTGTTGACGATGGACGTAATGAACGGTATGGCGATGATAGCTACAGCACTGGTTCGCTGACGGTGGCGATGATGATACACGACGCCGATGATGACGCTGATGGTGATGGTGATGATGATGCTGATGAAAAAGATGATGATGATGATGATGATGATGGTGATGGTGATATTGATGATGATGGTGATGATGCTGGTGATGGCGATGATGATGATGATGATGATGATGGCCATGATGACGGTCATGATGATGATCATGATGATGGTCATGATGATCGTCACGATGATGGTCACGATGATGGTGATGATCATGGTCATGATGAAAGTAACGACGATGATTCTGATAAGGAGGAGGAGGACCATCATCTTCATCATCTTCATCACCATCATCTTCATCATCATCATCATCGTCATCATCATGGGGTTTACGGTTCAGGGTTTCGGGTCTGTGGGTTAAGGCTTAGGGTTTAGGGTTTAGAATCTGATGGCTCAGTGGGTTGCAGGAGGCAGGAGCGAGTCTGATCCGCAACCGAAACATGTACCAACGAAGCATCAGCATAATACTGAAGCTTGCGGTACCGCGACGGAGTTACGAGATGGGAACCACACTGGCAGCACTGGGCAAGACTTGCACCGTAACATCTCCACAAAAAAGTTTGGCTTCACGGTTCAAGCGGTTTGGGATTTAGGGTCCATATCAACACGGAAATACTTACGATGCGATGTAAGAATTATCAGCTCAGTTGGCTAGCTGTTCTGTGGTGTTGCGGTTAGTAGCGCTGCTTCTAGCACCCTAAACCCTTACAGCCCAGCCACAAGCTCTGCAGAGACATCGGGACGGCTGGCCGTTACAGAGAGGAGCTGCTGGTAATTCAGACACCTCAGAGTCCCAGGTTGCGAAAGATGGCATAAATCCTGAAAGCCCCATGACCCTTGCATCAGGAACGTACCCTGAACTGCAGACGTCGTCATGTTATGATTTACGCTGTATCAGCGAATGTTCACATATTCCTTACATGAGCGATATCGAGATCTCGCGGAACCTGAGATCCAGTCTGTACTCAAAGCATAGGTAAACCCTCAACCCAACGCCCTACACTGCCCTGTATTCAGGGTGAAGGGCTTAGGGCTTAGGGCTTAGGGTTTAGTTCAATTCAAAGGTACAGAAGGCTCGTGCTGGTGCCGGCAACTGCTTGCCCCAGGTACTGCCAGTGCGTCCTTAGAAGGGCTCCCGAGGTTTGGGGGCTTTGGTATCTGATACAGGGGCCAATTGAAAAAGTTGGAGTAGCTTATGACAAAATCTGTGTAAGGACTACAAGGCTGCGACTAACTATTCCGGATTGGCTCTGGATATGCATTGTTCTCTAACTTAGGGTCCCCTTTTAGGGACCTTTTTATAAGGGTGCCGTACTATACCGGGGACCTAAATAGGGACCCTAATTTAGAGAACTCCCCATATACAGGCTCAGCGCATTGGGTCTAACGGGTTTCGGATCTGGGTGCAACATGCGACTTTCCTGGGAGTTAGGATTAGTTGGACCCTTGGGGATATAGACCCCCTCAATAAGGTCCCCTTTAAGAGAGCCACAAGTAGGGTTCAGAAGGGTCCCCTTTAAGGGGTCTCCCTAATACTACCTAGGATTGCCTCTTCGCAGGCGAGCATCCACAAGCACCCTTCGCACATCCAGTGACCAGGTGTGACACGCAAGACTGGGCTCTGAGACTTCACTGACTTGGCAAAATGTTGAAGCTGCTGGCTGGCCTTAGTTATGATGAGTTCATGAGCCCCAAAAGGTTTTAATCTTCAGTTTCTTAGAGGATAAGACTATCCCAAAGGTGCAAAGTTTACTCACTCTGCTACGAAGTTGCTGTTATCGGAGTCATGGTGGCCCAGGTCGTTGAACCGTTAACGGACCAAGTCTTCGCTGTGTGAGGGCTGCTCCGCTCTGTCTGCGTAACGATGCCCTTCTTTTTGTACAGCACGAAGTTGTATGCCACGAACAACATGTTGTCACATCGTAGCCCCGGTGAAAACAAGGTTTCATTCGGTGCCAGTGTCCAATCAGAAAGACCTTTCACACACAGGTCGTACAGGAAGTCTGGGTACTTCACCATCAAGGAGTAGAACGTCTGATGGCATGCCACTATGCCACCGAAAGCCTCGCCGCATAATTCTGTGTGCAACAAGTCGGGTAGAAGTGAAGCAATTTCGAGCTTGGAAGGCAGGGTGACTCTCTTCACCGTCTGCTTGAGATAGTCCTTCAAGCGACATTCCAACTTCCAAGAAACCGGATATGTCTCCAGGAAGTCCTCGGAATGGGCGTCTCTTACGATCTTCGGCTTGAAACTGACAGAGCCCCTGATGCATCATGTGGAACCGGCTTAAACTTTGGCTTATAAGTTTCGGTCCTGGGTGGCTTTGTCATCCCACGCAAGGACGAACGGAACGGGCACACGCACTCGTCCAAACTGGAGGTACGATTACGACTATGCTCAGTACTGTTGTCGGCCATAAAAGGATTCTCGCCAATGCTAATCCCCTGTGTGACTTGGAACTACCATTATGCGCCGTCGTCGTTGTCCATGTCGTCGTCTTAGTCGTCGTCAACGTAGTCGTCTTAATCGTCGACGGAATCGTCGTCGTAATCATAGTCGTCCTAATCAATAACCGTCGACTTAGTAGTCGTCGTCATCGTCGTCGTCTAGTCGTCGTCGTCGTCGTCGTCGTCGTCTAGGTCTAGTCGCCGTCGTCTCGATGTCGTCGTCTTAGTAGTAGTAGTCGTCGTCGCCGTCGTCGTCGTGGTGGTGGTAGTAGTAGTAGTAGTAGCAGCAGCAGCAGCAGTAGCAGCAGCGGCAGCAGAAGCAGCAGCAGAAGCAGCAGCAGCAGCAGCAGCAGCAGCAGTAGTAGTAGTAGTAGCAGTAGTAGTCGTAGTAGTAAGAGTCCACCGCCAGCTAAAATGGCAGTAGTAGTCTGCCGCCTGCTCCTCTACAGTGATAATCGTCGGCCTGCTCCTTTACGGTAGCAGTAGTCCTCGGCCTCTTGGTGCTATAAACGGGGTCAAAGAGTTGCTGATCATGCTATTTTAGGGGCCTTAATAATTGGAATAGGGTTTTGGGGCCCATGATACTATAATAAAATAAGGAACTCCCAAAATAGTATAGGTAATTATTAAGGCCCCTATATTACCCAACATTTCTTGCAAAGCATCCGAGAGTTGGCAATCTGCTTCACCCTGCTGCCGCCGCACACGGCGGATATCCGACATGTCGTTCGTGACGATGGAAGTGAAAATGGACCCGATTCTTAGACACGCAATCGCAGTGCTTCGCAAGTCTGACATGCCAGAGGTATTCGCATGTAGGAACATCTGTAACTGGTAGCACTCTCCCCTCAGGGCGGAGGTCTTAACAATGGCATACAAGCACTTGACTTGTCAGAGTTTTTGTACATCCTAGACCCGGAAGCCGAGCCCTAAGCCCCGAAGCCCTCAAACCCTCAGCCTTAAACCCATAACGTGCTAGGCACGAACCTGCAACCTGTGCGTGATTCTTTCGGCGATCCTGGGATGACCTATGCCTGTTCAATGCCGTGAGACCTCGACCTTTAATGGGTCCAGGAATTACAGTTGCTTTTGAGCTTCTAGAAGGGCTTCTATGATGTAGGGACCGGAATATTTAGAAGAAGGTTTTTGGGGTATACTGCGGTACCAGAATAACATTGAAGTACCCTAAAAAAATATTATCTGTAATTTAACAAAGCCTCCATATTTACGTGAGCAGTGCTGTAGGTGTGGTCTTCGGGTGACTTTGGTATTTCTGACTATTTAGGCTGATATGCCCCAACTCTTAAACCCTAAACCCTAAGGCCCAAAAGCTTGAAATCTGTCATGCGGCAATAATGCTGCAGCCGTTGCCGTCAAAGCTATTCCTCTGCAGAAAGGCAAGATAGAAGCTGGAGAGTAATTATGGTCGGTGGTGCTGATAACCAGAGCCTCGGAAAGGAATCATCTCGGAGATGTTTGGGAAAGGAATCATCTCGGAGATGTTGCGGTAATACACAGGGAGAAATTATCGCCGACTATTGCGAGGTCTATGGCACTAGGACGATGTGCCTGCATCTTACCCCAGAAATGATGAGGGATCTAGGACGTAGGGTGTAGCGTTTCAGGACTTTTAAAGCCGGAGGCGTCCATGCGCCTGCTTTCGGGGGGGGGGGGGGGGT